AGGATTTTATTCCAATGATTAACTTAGAAAAGAGGATTAAACACTTTTAAGCGCCAGTGTCAGCTTTGAGAAACCTATCTTTATAGTTTACAAGAAACGTCACCTAATTATTACTTGCCTACGAAACGAAAACGGGACTAAGTGCCGTCTGTATTAAGCTGTTTTAATTTTGAAACAGTACTGTGATGTTTTGTCATATCAACAAATATTATATAATCCTTTTAATTTTAAATATTTGCCGAGAGCTTAAAAAGGATAGTTATATCCATAAATGGAAAATGTAGAAACAAATAGTAACTTATTCCCCAATTAGAAATGCGAAATTAAAAAAGTATTATTTCTGCCATAAATACAAGGTGGCGCAGAAGTCACACATGGGGTACCCCATGCACGTGCAATGCGTCATAATTGATTTTTGTAATTTGTTTATTTAATCTTTTTCTTTTTCAGGATTATGAAATACTTTGGGACATACACCATGAAGAGATTGAGACTTGGACTGTTCAGGAAACTGATAATACTTTATTTTGAAAATCAAAGATCCATCAAAAATCATTACCCTCACTCAAAGAGGATAACCGTCGCCATTTGTCCTCATTAGACTACAATTCTGCGATCGCTCAAGAACGGGTTCGGTTTGAACTCCCGAAAACATTCGACTGAAGGACAGCATTAATGACAATCCCGTTCTCGGGTGATCGCAGGCTGAGTAATGTTGCCGAATGCATGCTATCAGACAGAGAATAGTAGTCTTACGAAGTTAGTTGCGCACAGTGAAATGCCGATGGTATGCTCTTTGAATGAAGATGATAGATCTTTGATTTTCAAAATAAATTTCTATAAGTTTCATGAGCTGTTAGAAAGCTGTTAGAGAGGAAGACTCAAAACCTCTCCAAGGTGTATCTCCCAATCATGCTTCACAGTTCCGAAAAATAAAAAAAATAAATGAAAAACAACTTGCAAAAAAATTATAATGCATTGCAAACCAGGCTTGATTTCTTCGCCCCCCTATATATTAAGCATTCTTTTTAAGCATTTTTTAACTTTATTCCTTTTAAAATATTTGAGACGGTATTACAGGACGAGTTTAAGATAGTTTTATGATTACAAAAATGTAGTTAACGCAGGGCGTATTTGATTAACTTCTTCAGAAATAAAGTTTAGTAATTGGCACTTAGAAGCTTTCTTAACAGCTGAGTTGTAAAACATTTGCATCTGTGCATCGTAACATAAATAGTGAAAGACTAAGCCTCGAACGCTTCCAAAGTTCCTTTAAGCGCAAACTTATGTGTCTGCATGTCAGGGCAAGAGAGTGACTGGTGTCTCAAGAAGTATCATGACGAGGCACATGTATGAGTTAGCTTAGAAGTAGTTCTGAAACTTTCTTACCGTACACATAGGTGCGAGGGCGGAGGTTGAACCTCTGTACCTGGTTCTGTGCCTGGCACTAAGGGGCAAAGGAACTCATAATGCGGTTCAGCTTCACGGAGTGAGGAATGCCCATATCTTATCTTACCCTACACATCTTTTTACCATCTGCAAAAAAGGTGCATCCGATTTCTGACGGCCTTTTGCTCCACATTGAGAAAAGCTTTGAAGAATGCAAAAAATATTTTATTTCAGAATGCTAGCCGGCTCATATAAATTTCCTTCAATTAAGTATAAGTTCAGAATTGTTTTGTATGTTATGAATTTTGATTCATTAGACCTTTTCAAAGTATGTTAGAGGGTTGGCCAAACTTCATGTCAGTAAGAGCCGCACGTTTGAATTCAGGAATGTTCGAGAGCCGCATCTAGATTTTCTAAAACCCACAAGTTCATATTTACATTATTATAGAAGTAGTGGAGGAAGTTTTAAATAGAAAGAAATCCCTAATAACTTTATAAAAGGAGTCTAAACTAATTAATTACTTCCTTTTGGACACTGAATAGTTTTAATTTAGTATATTTTATATGCATGAGCCGCACAAATTGCCTGCGAGAGCCGTATCAGGCTCGCGAGCCGCAAAGGTTTTGCAGCTGAGGATGGTGGTTCGGTAAAACCATCGAAACTAGTCCTGTGAAAATTTTGAAAATATAACGCTGATTTTTGTTGTTTGACTTCTGAATTAGAAGCTATTGGTTATTTGTATTAAATAAGCACACACAAAACAATTTTAGATTAAAAACTAGTTACCATTTTAATTATCAAAATTTAAGTTATAATACTTTAATTCTACAAATTTGGTGCGAAATTTGGGCCTATTTAAGAGAGATCGATTTCTTTATGTCTGGTCTTACTTCACTTACATTCAATCGTAAATTAGAATTAACTTTTAATTTTGTTCTGTATTTATTTTGCAAATATAACATAGAAAAAATCGTTAACGCAAATAGGTTGTGAAAAAAGGCAATACAAATTTAATAGCTTTGTTTAAAATGCATTTAATTTCTTTTTTTCGGTTCAGCCAAAAGTTAACAAGTGTGTTATTTTTGAAATCTTCAGTTAGAGTTCAATAACGGGAAATTTCTATCAATTGTTCTTTTTCTTCACGAGAGAAAATTTCAGGTACATTTGAACAAAATGGATTTCTAATCCAATTTTCTTTATCATAATTCTCGGAAAAATACATGTTGAAATTATTTATCAATGAAAAATAATGATTTTTAATGTTGGATGCTAATTCTTCTTTTATTTTCGGTTAGAAAACTTTCTAAAAGGGGTAAAACGTTTAAAATAGTATTATCCAATTCTTTGACTTTTAGTTCGAGTTTTTTATTCCTTTTATGGTCTGTTTTATTATTATATGTATTTATGTTGTAGGGTATTTAAATTTTGAATTTAATAGTTGAAAATATATTGTTTCTTTTGCGTACCACCTATTTTTCTCTTGCGTACCACCTATTTTTCTCTTGCGTACCACCAGTCGTATGCGTACCAGCGGCTGAGAATCGCTGATTTAGATAATTAATTTTACAATTTAAATGCCTTCCAAACGGGGCAGTGGTTAGTGACCCTGACTGCCGTAAAGAAGGGTCCGATTTAGAGTTCCGGAGAAAGCATGGTGTTTGTAAAGCTGGTTCTTTTAAATCACCGTGTCGTCATTTTATGAGTGTTCTCATTTTTTAATACTTTTTTATCTGAAAAATTTGAAGCTTTTTCAAAGAGTCCTAGATCGAAAATTTTAATCTCCAGTTTTGAAGTTTGAGCCTGTAAATAAAAGGAAATTTGGAAAAATACAAAATTATTAATTTATATATTTCTTTAATTGTTTTATATGCATTTATATTATAAAAATTACATTTCCTTTTTGTTACCTCACGGGCCCACCAGCGGCCGAGCGGTAAAGTCGCTGAACACTGGTAATTCCGTCCGAATCCCGCGAACGGGCTGGCTGCATGGGCGTTTTCGTGGTTTTCCCCATGTGTAATGTGTATACGAGCCAGTTTCCCTTAGAAAGTCCTCCACGAAGGCATCCCTCCTCTTAGGCAGATAGCCCTAGTGTGCGCCCACCAGCGGCCGAGCGGTAAAGTTGCTGAACACTGGTAGTTCGGTCCGAGGTTCGAATTCCGCGAACGGGCTGGCTGCATGGGTGTTTTCGTGGTTTTCCCCATGTGTAACGTGTATACGAGCCAGTTTCCCTTAGAAAGTCCTCCACGAAGGCATCCCTCCTCTTAGGCAGATAGCCCTAGTGTGCTTTCCCATAATTAAACACACACACACACACCCTAGTGTGCTTTGCCATAATTAAATACACCAAACACCTTGTTACCACACGTTTTCCTCGCGCGAACATTTATTATCCACTTGTTTAATAGCTAATTATGTGTAATAGCTAGTTTAATAGTTAATAAGTCAAAACGTGTCTCGTAACTAAATATGAGAATATTTAAAGAATAAAATTTTCATTTTCAAAATATCAAGAACATTTTAAGAATGAAATTTTCTGATGTAGGAAAACATTTTATGCTTCTGACTTATAGTGCTACATGTTTACTAAGGTAGTGAGACCAAACGTATGATAAAGACCCGAAGATATTACACAGAGCATATATAAGAACGATGTGCTGTGCGTAATACCTGCAAAGAAATAATTACCACATTATTTTTTTTCCTTACTCTTGTTGCATTAAAGAGGATATCTTTTTTAATAAGATTAATTATTTGAGCACGGAAATAGCGTTTTTCGGACTAAAGGTAAAGGTATGATAATTTGATTCCAGATGATAGCAAATTATGCGTATATAACATATACAAATTCCAAGGACCGAAGAGAAGGCTACTATTTATTTCAGCAGCTTTCTTGCCGTTTTATTCCAATAAAAGATGTTTCGACAAATTTCATCATTAAAAAAGGTGTTACGATGTATTGCCAGATAAAGACATTACTTTATTGATATTTAGAGATTTAAAGTTTTTAGGATATATTTTAAAATTTAGTTTTCGTTTGAGTTAATTAGATTTTCCGAAAGAGTTTGCTTTTGTGAAACAACCAAACATTTGTTTCTAGAAGCGTATTCATTTCCTTTCATTCAAATTAAAGCCAAATAACATTTCGACTTCATCGATTAATGAAATTCTGATTGGATACAAGTAATGTGCTTATTATTATGCATTATTGTAGCCTCTAAATTACGAAAAATATTTCATACTGCGTTTTAGTAACATGGAATTTCTACAACGTGATGATTGTATGCAATTTATTTTTATGTTTATATCATGTTACCTGTAAATTATCTAGCCCTAACATAAATTATTACACATGGAAGGTAAAATAGTTAAAAGTATTATCTCTCACGAGTGCAAAAATATCAAATTAAAATTATGCATAAAAGATAATTCACTGCACACGATCAGATAGATTATAGAAATTTCCCGTTGCCTGCCATTCAGTATTTTATATAAAAATAAGAAATAAATCATAATTTTTATTATGAAAAGCAGAAAAGAAAGTTTGGAAATATTTACTTTCAAGTTGCTTAACATTAGCTAAGTTTTATCGAATAAATATACATCTTACCTGTAAAAAGCTATCTGCTTCATATTCGGTGTCTTCTTGTTCCAAAAAGTTTTTTTCTACTCCTAAGTCATTTAAGGGAGAATCATTTAGGACAAAGGTTCCAGGTTTTGTTTCAGATGAGGCTCTTTGAGTTTGTTCCACAATTATGCATTTTGTAGTTTGACTTGGAGTACAACCCATTTCGGATGTGCCACTTTCAGTTTAAAAAATTAAAATATTGTTGCTTCTGTAAGTAGAATGTTTGTAGTATAGTAACTCATATTTTTAAGGCACAGTTATGCATATAAAAGGATTGAAAATTTAGTTAAACAGTTTTGTCTAAGTTGAAAGAAATTTCATAAATGAACAATTCACTTTTTTAGCAAGTAGTTGGGTTCAAAAATCAGAAAATCCGGCACGCGTGTTTCAACTAGCTAGGAAATATGAGCATCATAACATAAACATAATAATTAAACATCATTTTGGTCTTTCGATTTTTTATAGGTGAAAGCATACTCATTCCTTCCCTTTTCATTCATTTTCTGCCCTTCGTTCCATGCCTAAGACAGGAACAACTCCCTTGAAAGTTGGATAACAGGTTTGCAGGAAACTGCTGCTTAGGCAGATGAATTGATTTGGTCACTAAATTACTGTCAATCTTTTCTGAAATCAAAATTGATTACATTAACGTACACTCCTTTTTAATTGCTCTGCAAAGTCTCACTTGGCAGATTCTACTTTAAGAACATGTTCATAGGAAGATGTAATAATTCCATAACTAAAGTGCAGGCAATCCTTTCAGAAATCCAAATTGTCTGCATTAACTTATACTCTTTTTTTTAATTGCACTGCAAAGTGTCGCTCGGAAGATTTTACTTTTAAGAAACTGGAAGTCTTAGGAAGCAAATGCTTCGAGTATCTGTTTGCATAAAGTTAAAAATCAAACGACATTTTTTACTATTACATTTATATCAGCAGCTTGTTTGCCGTTTTATTCCACCTAAAAAAGGTGTTTTGACAAATTTCGTCAATAAAAAGCGTATTACGATGAATTGACAAATAAACACATTACATTTATATCAGTATATATTACATTATAAACAAAATTATCAGAAGCAAACATAATTTTTTTATGTTTTTTGAGAGAAGACAAGCGAAAAATTTTAAGAAAACATACAGAAGCAATAAAATGTTACAACATAGATCTTTATTTCATCAGCTAGAAAGGAAAATAAAGTTTTAATTTTGCGGAAGAAATCTCTACTTAAAAAATGTTTTTTGCAATAATTTAGATGCTGTTTAATTGTTTACTTTTAAAATTTAACATTTACTGAAATAAAGTACTGCTGCCACAAAGAGCTCTACGATATGTATTCCTGAAATCCTGTATCTAATATTTAAATTTATTTTAATTATTTCTCTTACTGTCATTAAATTGATTACGTGAAACGAATCTTCGGGAAAAGGCATTCCTTATAGGAAAATTAAAAATTATATTTACGTCCCAGCAATGGCCATTGGGCTAAAATATTGAGCTGTGCTTGCTTTGGGATATAAAATTTAGAAAACACTCATATGACAAAACCTTTCAAATACAGTTTTGTAGAGAGTAATTTAATACACATTAAACTTTATTTATCCCTCTGGGATTACAATTACCAAGCTCCTAACTTCTTAGAAAGTTCGGGATCATGAAAGTCAGAGAAAATTAAAGATCTGGTAATCTATTTAAACTGTTCCGAATTAAATAATTTCTCATTTTTAGAGAAAAAAATTCTTTCACTTTTACATTTCGTGTAACTGTCATCAATCATAAGACTCGAAATATTATGTTATTATTTTAAGAGTTGCAAATTTATCAAAAATATCTAATTAAGAATCTCTATAAGCTAATTAATGCATATGTATTTATCCTACCTGTCAAATGAAGATGCATTCTCATTCTTCTTATACATAAATTACAGTTTTGCGTCTTACGCAAATGCAGGTGTTCAGTCGTTTTGGTGACGGTGTCTCTTTTTTTTTTTTTTTCTTTCTAATGCAACGCATTTTCTAGCGCGTATTATACGAAGGGATATGTGGGACGAGTTCTGACTAAATGCTCCCGATTGTCTAACTTCTCTTTGGAACTTCTAAATCGATTGCGTGCCATTCAACATGTTTTTGCCATAGAAACGTGCGCAGCAGTTCGCGAATAAACAATTCGCAAAACAGACTTGGACTTCGCAGTACAACGGAGTGAATGGCAGTTGGGAGGGAGTTGGAGTGGGAGATAGGGTAAGCGTGCAGTGTGTCAATACTAAAAATATTTCTTTTTCTTTCTCAGTTATCTCCACTTTATTTCAAAATCATAAAAAAAAGTTGGAAACTTTGGATATCGGACATAGTTATATTCTCGAAATCATAACTTCAGTTTAATGATTGTTGTAACGATATTACAATAAATTAAAAGAGTAAATATAACTTCAAAAATATTATTTCAGTTTAACTAGTTTTTTTTTTTTTTTTAGGAAACTTTATACAATCAATATAATGATATATCTAAAACATGCGTCAAAGAAAGCTTCAGAATTTCAACATTTTAGAAAGAGGGAGAAAAGAATTATTTTTAAATGTATTAATACATGAAATGCTTCCTTACTTTTGCTGTTTTAATTCTTTTAATAGTAATTTTATCTAGCTCTTTAATATATTTTTTAAATATTAATGCCGGTATAATTATAAAATTGCACATTAGATGATATTCTTCTACTTTTCTTTCGCTCCCTTAATTTACAGAATAGTATAGCTTTTTCGACATGTGTCTCATCATTTCATTTTTTTCTTTTTTTAAATTTTTTGGTGTTAAGTCATTTTACCGAAGAAAAAAGAATCATTTAAGGAATTTTATTTATTATTTATTATTTTTATATTTGAATTTTTAAATTTAATTTATTATCATTTAAGGAACTTTATGTATTTTATTTAAAAATTTCATTTTTGCTGTGCAGCCGCTTGAAACATCAAACGGGAAAGAGAACTAACCTATTTTCTCGGCAAGTAGTCAAAACAGAGGATTTTAAAATGATTAAATTCTGAAACACGTTTTAATTAAACTGATGTACAAAGTAATATACGGAGTCCAAAAGCATGCGATTTTATTCATTGAGAAATCCTAAAATGTCTTGTATTCGTCATTATAAAATAATGCACCGCAAGGAAGTTCTAGGAAAATTTCAATAATAACACACTAGAAATTCTTCCATCCGAACTAGCTAAAGGATACTAATTCAGAAGACAAACAACAAAAATCAGCGTTATATTTACAAAATTATAATAACTAAAATAAAAATAACGCTGATTTTTGTTGTTTGTCTTCTGAATTAGTATTTATTCGGCGTGTTATTGTGTCTTAATTATTAGCTAAAGGATGTTTCTTAGGATAACACTTGTTTTCTTTGGTAACCCATAGTCAGGCTTGTTTTCACATAAAAATGAAAATGATACATTTTTCATGTTGTAATTTCGACAACAATTTTGCACTCTCCAGCGTTAAATACGAAGTAATAAATTCGTTATAACATATGTTTTGAAATTCCAGATTTAACAAGAAATTATTCACCTCACTAGTAGATATTGACTTTCTTGTTGTTATGCTAGCCGTTACTTGGCGATTGGACTTGGACAGTAAATGCGATATACTGGCCATCAGGAGACGTTGTAGTACTAGGAGGACATGGAAAGGGTCTCTGGGTAATTGCCGTAGCTGTCCAGAATGTTTTACATAAAAAGTAATAGCAATGGCTCTGGGAAAAAACTGGGGACTTCTTATAATGGATTACCTTTTGTTCCTACAGCACATCAGCGTTGAGAAATCTTTCGGATCTTTCTTTTTCAAAAATCTTCTTTGCATCATAAAACAATTTTTTTAAATTCAAAATCATCACTATCATTTTCAGAAAGTTGGTCTTTAGATACTGATCCCTTGGACTTAAGAGTCAATTTGTCACTTTTTTTCTTTTCTTTGTATCTCGAAAATCAAAGTTTTGGAATCATTATATATTTATTTACACATCACCATTGACGGCAGAATCTTCTTACAATGAAATTCGCGTATCTGCTCTTATTTACATCGCGTGCTTAATGTTTAAGATGAACACATTTCGCTTAAAAAAAACTTAAAAGTTTCTTCTTAAACTTCGTATTTTCATTTAAATAATAACTACCTAACTCAGGAAACACAGAATACATGCAATAAAACATCGTTCAGTTTTTAGTTTTACTTCAATTATAATTTTTGAAACATCAAACTAGAACTATAAAGACGAGAAAACGAGCAGTTTTTTTAAGTTTCTCTAAATGACAGATACTCACTGGGCATGTTTGGCTGCTGTTTTTGTTAGTTTTTTTTATTTCAGGGAATTCTTGTAATACAAAGTAAATTTTGATTGACAAAATGCATCAGTATCTAGATATCGGAAAATTATCTAGACAAAGACTACACATTTTATAGTATTTTGCAAACAGGATACTTTTTAGCTTTAAAATATGAACTTAATTCCAAACAATGAGTTAATGAAAAAACAGTTCATTTCTAGAAATGGTTGGTTTTCTAGCTCATTTATTTTATATTATTTTAACGTTATTTTACAACAACAATAATAATAATACAAATAACAGTTACAATCATAATTATTCTGATGTTAGTGATAGTGATGATAATAATGTTGCAAAATTAAGTTGATAAGCCTAGTTTTTCCCAGCTAAAAAGACATGAGTATTAAATAAAATCCGAGGTCGATTTATACAAATCTTCCAATTTTTTTTGCGCAAGCTAGGGGGCACAAGAAAAAATGTTATTATGTCTCATCCAGCTCGTGTTCAATATCTTGAATAGACAGGAAGTGGTAGAAGAACAATTTGCTTTTTTATTACAACTTGGAAGAAGAAGCAATTAATGCAAATAAAAAACACTTAGTGAAATATAACTCCAACAGTGTAGAAGATAACTCATAATCCTTCTCAAGGAGGAAGAATATCGCACTTTCAGTTCCAAAAGAATAGGGTCGCCTTTTGTCGAACTCAACAGAGGCAACGAAATTGGTAAATAAAACACATTTTGGTTTCTATTCTAAAATAAGCACTATCACCAAATTAAAGAGTTGGTCCTCTCGGCACTTATACGACCTTTTAAAATGCAAATTTTCAATTTTGGGTCTAATCTACTGATTATATGTTTGACTTCTTTGATGGCAATAAAGAGGATTTAACTGAAGTCCACTTGGTTATGAATTTAGTACTGTCTGCCAATTCTGAATTCGAAACAGATATTTTTCTTCCATTGTTGCTCATAGTGAAATTCACTGAAGTTGGTTTAAGTATTACCCCATGCGTCTAAACCTTTTTTTATTTGTCCTCGCTCTTGTTCTTCTGTTTTTTCTGCATGCTAAATGCTTTCCTCTGCATTCGTTTTCCATCAGGAGCTTTACAATTTAAGAGCCGAACTTATCAAATGAGCGTTTTTAGATTACTTCCGATTATAAGAATTTGGTAATGATGTCACTCTTTTATTCGATTAATCCCAAAACTGCACTATTCGCAACTTTTAGATTTTGTTCGTCTTTATTTCTATTAACGAAATCTGTGTTCTGCCCTAGAATACCATATTTTACGGTTTATGTTTTAATGTAAGATATATATTTTGTAATAATAAAATTCCATAGTCAAGAATACACTTAAAATTTTAACTGTTTAAAAGTTGCTTAAGTGCCGCTAAGCCTAATAATTTTTCCATGGCGGCCATTGCTTGTTTACATCTGAAACAGCAGAATAGTAGATTTGTTGCCAATCTAGAGAAAGTAACCTTCGCAATAACAAAGATAACGCTTTCTTTTATTATTGCGAATTAAATCATGCTTAATCCATTCTGAAATTTATTCGAGGAAATAAGTGTTTAAAATTTGCTTAATAATTTTCAATAGACATTTTGAGTTTTAATGTATTTTTGCCTTGTCGCGAAGTGAGAACTGAATTAATTGAATGAGAAATACCGAATCGTCTGTGAAAAACTGTTTCTTTTTGTTGTTGTTGTTCTTTGCTTAATTTCTTTTATACATCGTTTTAGATTTATTATGGTATTTGAATAGAACATGTGGAAACGATTAGATAATTCTTAAGATCATATGAATTTTGTGCATTCTGAGTTAAAAAATGAACGAAATGTAACGCTGTGAAGTGAACCTAGGGACAGAGTGTCTCTGTAGTAAACAAATGCAGTGAATTTTAAAAGGCTATTATTCTATTGTGGTTTATGCGCTATCGACGAAGTAGATTTAATTCAATCCAATAAGTTTCAAATGAAATGCAAGAAAAAACTGCGTATAATTTAATATTCCGTACAAGCAAGTCATGTCGTGCACACATCAGATTTTTTTATTTGCTATTAGTTTTCTTTTAAAGTTGTTCGAAAAAATTATTCAGTATCTTTTTACGTAAACCTTATATCGCATCATATTACGCATGTGCATTGGATTACAAATACATATTGTTTTAGTTTGTATATTTTATATCTAATTCTTGAAGATGATTGATGAAATATAAATTCCATAGTAACACGAAAATGAAACTCGATTCTTACATTTTCGTATTATATATGTTACTGGCAAAGTATGAAACGCCGGTGTTCTATAGAATGCTTAGGCACTGTATATAATGCAAGACGTTTTTAGGCAAAGTATGAAATATGAGAATAATTACATACTTTCCCTAGGCATTGCGTATAATATCTAGGCATTCTATAGAATGACAAATGCTCTTTAGGCAAAGTTTGAAAAAAAAAAAGTTCCTGATAAGGTTATTATTAAAAAGAGCATATCTTTAGAATTTCCGATATACAGTCTCGCGCGCTGGAGATTTTTTCTGTACAGTTTTGCCATTCTTCGCTTTGAAATCGTTGAGTTTCTTAATCAAAAATTCGTTAAAGTTTTACAAAGTATGAAATAGATAATAAAAGAAATTCCAAATTTGGGTTTCAAGATAGATGCCCATGTTCGGGTGGAGACTTACGTTATTCAGAATTGGATGGCTCTAGATACCGTTGTTTTATCACAATGCGAGAAACATGCATACATTTATGCAGATTCTTCA